GCATATTAGAAATGAAAGGTAAAAATTTAACAAAAGTTCCAGAATAGAAAGTCATCCTCTGATCCTCAGCTCTACCCGGTGAAAGCTTCCAACCTTGGGCCCAAGGAGGAAAAGGTACGCGGGGCATAGGGAGTATTGGAGAGCAGAGGGCAGATGGGCTTCCTGGCATTCAACTTAGGATGGACAGACCAATCTGTAGGTCTAGTTCACGTCAGTTTCACATGAATTCTGCCACAGCTTGGAAAATTTACTGTTTCTGGATGACAGCAATCAGTTCCAGATGATAGAATCAGTAACAATAAATCCCTAAGTTCTCTTACCAGCATAAAGTCAGAAAAAGGAGCTTTTCCAAGTTGTGGTTCTATTATCCCATTCTGTTCCAGGTTCTTGCATTTGTTTTAATGACCCAAACATTCCCATTCTATATATTATCCTTAAAGTACACTGTTTTGAACTTGTTTTCCCCCTAAAACATTTTGTATGCATTTTCCCCCATCTGAAAACGGTCATATAAGATTTAGAGGGCTGCAGTGACACTCTTCAAAGAAGGGCCACCTCCTGGTTGGTATCTCTCCAAGATCTATGCCTGTCCAGGGAATTTGGAATCATTCAGTTCATCTAAAGGTAGATCAAGCAAAAAACAAAGTAGCATCTCTCCATTGCACTAAAGATCCCCACTTGGAACCACATGTCTTCCTATTCATGCCCTATTTGAGCTCAATGAACAATGTGAACTGCTTGGTCTTTCCAGAATAATACACAGAAAATTATGATTATCCCGCCCCCTCAAGGTTTGACCTGGAGTTAGTGACAGAGCCCCGCACCCCATCCTTACATCTCTTGTCACCAACTGGAATGGCATCTGCCTGAGGGCTCTTCTGCACGCCACATTAAATACACAGCTGAGCCTTCTATTCCCTTTCAATGTACTGGATCAGGATCACCCAGAACAGGAGAGAGAAGTCTAAAACTCCCTCCCTTACTCACTGCTGCTTGTTTTTCCCAAATCAGCCCCCTCCAAGGGGCTAACAAATAAAGAAAAGCCATTAACCACATCTACGTTGTATCCTTTCCATCACATTTACAGCTCCCTGCTCTCTGGCTAGCTAATATGAACTAATTCTTTTTCATGGTGAGCAGTCTGCTAGAGGCAATTGAACCAGCAGTCTGGATGCAAAGTCCTCTCCCTGGATTTGTAACAACATCGGGATTGTTGACTGGAAACAACTTGGACAATCGTGGTACTGAGTTTCCTAATGCTAAGTATATGCATTCAACGCTCAGGACAGATTTTAGAATTTATTTAATGGCTAACATGGTAACACTGAACTTAACTATTTAGCAGTGGGAACTTCCACTGGAGGAAGATTAATTTCTCCAGTCACAAATCACCAACACATTAGGTAAAGTTACCCAGTTTGGCTTTGACTGACGTCCTTTACCTAATCTAGCATTTAAAATAATCCCTGCCCCTGATACAGTCAGCAAAAACAAGACCTGGAGCTGATTGTGGCTCTGATCATCAGCTTCTTATAGCAACATTCAAGCTTAAACTGAAGAGAGTAGGAAAAACCACTGGGCTGCTCAGGTATAATCTAAACCAAATAACTTATGAATAGACAGTGGAAGTGAAGAACAGATTTAAGGAACTCGATTTGATGGACAAAGTACCTGAAGAACTTTGACTAGAGGCTCGTAACATTATACAGGAGGCAGCAACAAAAGAAAAGGAAATACAAGAAAGCAAAGTGGCTGTCCAATGAGGCCTTACAAATAGCAGAGAAGAGAAGGGAAACAAAATGCAAGGGAGATAGGGAAAGTTACAGAAAATTGAATGCATTCATCCAAATAATAGCAAGGAGAGACAAGAGGGCCTTCTTAAATGAACAGTGCAAAGAAATAGAGGAGAATAATAGAAAAGGAAAAACCAGAGATGTGTTCAAGAAAATTGGAGATATTAAAGGAACCTTTTGCGCAAAGATGGACATGATAAAGCACAAAAATTGTAGGCACCTAAAAGAAGCAGAAAACCTCAAGAAAAGGTGGCAAGAATACACAGAGGAGTTATACCAGAAAGATTTGGATATCCCGGACAACCCAGATAGTGTGGTTGCTGACCTTGAGCTAGACATCCTGGAGAGTGAAGTCAAGTGGGCCTTAGAAAGCTTGGCTAACAACAAGGCCAGTGGAGGTGATGGCATTCCAGTGGAACTATTTAAAATCTTAAAAGATGACACT